CATATGTTTGTAGATTTTGGTGTTATTGCATAATGTCAACTAGCATTGATGTTAAATTCATTTCAATGGCTATATTTAGTGCGGCCATCACCTTGGCGTTGTTCGACGTAGCGCGGAAAGTTAATGATCGACAGGTAGCCCCACGTGGAAGTACATATTAATGTAATTCCTGTCGGCGATCGATATACGAATGAATTGTTTGGTTTTATACAATGACAACATTGAAACTTATAATTTTATATTCCAAAGAATTAAATTTAATTCTATTATTTTTTAATTGCTTAAAAATCAGCTTTAAAACAAATTTTAGTTTAAAAATGATTTTTGGCGTCGTAAAAATTTAATTCCTAAGCAATTTTGCTGAAAGAACTCAGATAATATGTCTAACAAAAATAAAAATAAAAATAATTTAAATTACAATGAAATAATTGATCTAAATCGCAGTTATTTAATTAAAGCGGTCATGCAAGTCATCCTTTCGCATTCAAGTGTGCCAGAGGTACATATTTATGAAGTTTGTTGATTTAGAGATTATTTTCTAGTCGGTTGAATCAAGTTTTATCGGCGAAATTAATTGATTCGACAATAAAAATTCAATTCAAATCGACGCAGTGCTCGACCAGAGTACAACAACTTCTCGATTGACTCTTTCCTTTCTTTGTGTGGTTTTCGTGCACCTGTATTAGGCAAGTAAAAATCAAGCTATCACGTAATCACGCCACGCGCCGATATTAATAAATTCCCAAGTTTTTATTCGGATTTTCAAGCTGAAATGTTATCGTCGTTTAAAAAATATATTCAGGCGTATAATACTTCAATTTTTATTTATTTTTTGGTATGTTTCGTGTTACTTATCTGGATGTAAAGCTATACTTTAAATTTAAATATTAATATTGGGCAAAAATTTATGATAAAAGTTATTATATTGTAAAAACTTATGATAATGAAGGTGCAATCTTAACTTATTCATCAAAGCGTGTTTTTCACGAGTTTTAACCAATAAATTAAACATTTTCAAAAATCGATATTGAGAATAAGTAAAATGTATAGGTATGTGACTTAAATTGGTAATTGTTTCCTGCTTGAACTTGTAATCATGAGTGTCATCGCAGCAATAAAACAACGCAAATATCAACGATTCTAAAATGAATAAATTGAAGATGCAGAACGTAAAATGCCAACCAGGAACTGAAGTCTTTCCGTTCAAACGCGATTTACGAGCGGCACAATCGCCAAACCGCGCGATTGACTTAAGTGCCTTCTAGCCGGAGTAGCAATTGGCAAACAAATTGTTGCAAATTCACGTCGAAGGTTCCTCACATCGCACGAGCTGTCCATTCCTAATTCCGGTTATTGTTGCGATCACTCGCTATTGCGTCGCGACGCGATTCTTTCCATTATCAACTTGAATGGAAAAATAAACCATCCGCACACGTGGAAGGTACATGGTGTTTTTGTTCCACATCACATCATGTGATTACCCGCTTGGTCATTCATATTATAATTGTTTGCGCCATATTTCAAGATGATGCCACATGTGTGTCAGCAGTGTCATGCGCGTTCTTCAATTATTCAATTTTCAGCTGGTTCAGCGATAGACGTGGAATTGAAATTGGCAATATTTCAATTTGTTACATTGAGCGCAACGACGAGCGGAATATTTTCGCGTGCATTGAACGCTGTACTGTGTTTCTTCCAGCGGGCATGGTAAACGGTAAATAAATTAATTGAACAAGCGAGCAAACAAAGAACGAGATTATGCTATGATCCAATTGACTTGTGTAAATGGCACACATTTCTTTTAATCATATCTTGTTCATCATCTATATTATAATAAAAAACAGGTTAATGTTTAAGAATTAAGTTTTTTATTCGTTTGGTAACCAAATTTGGAGTCTCAGTTATTTTACTCATGATTTTTCCTTTTAAAATTGAATAAATGACGTAAATTTACTTTAAAATTACATAGATGCAAGTAGTAACAAATGTGATTATTAGAATTGTGATTATTGTTTTAGACTTAAAATTCCAATGAATTAAGTATAAATCTTAATAAAATGATAAATATGTTCCTACGTGTTGGATTATTTAGCTTAATATGTGTGATAAAAACATTACATTCACCGACGTGAACGTGTGCATTAAAAAATTAATCCGGCCCTTATAATTTGAACTATCAAATTAAAACCGTGCCGCGTAGCGAATGAAAAAAGCAAATTAAAATTCTTATCTTAATATTATTGATAAAATTTTGCGACTCGACTTGTTTTGCAATTATTGCAACAAACAAAGATTCTATTCATTCTTATAAAATTTGTCTGCTGCATAATAAAATTAATATTTATATGTTATATCTATCCACTTCACTACAATACATTCACATGAATGTAAACTTGTTATAATCAATTAAAGTTCCGATTTAATTGAAATTTTATTATAACTTATCACTTCGCACATGAGTGTGAAAAGTATCATTTGTTAAGTGCGTGATAGATGACTCAATCATTCACTAAATAAATCAAAAGGAATAACAATCAAAGAATTGAAACTTAAATTCGTTTCCAATTTAAATTTGATTTCTCAAGTGTTTAGCGGTGGCTGGCTGCAATTAATATCTGATCGCGACGAGACAAGCCACTAATATCGTGGTATTTGGGCTGATTGGTAATTCGTTCTGGTTTTATTAATACTAGTAACAACTAGAAACTCAACAATTCAGTGTAACAATAACAAAAGCCAAAACAATTACGATTATTCAAACTTCAACCGAAAAAGGCATACATTTGAATTTCATAAATTCAACATATTAGCATACATTAACAGTAAACTCATGTCGCAACTGTATAAAACCGTATATTGCAATCTCCATACTAGTTTCATTTAATATCATACCACTTTTAATAATATTTCCAATCATAAATTGCATAAATTAGATGTTAAAAATACATGGGTTTTCTCAAGTGCAACGAAATATACATTAGTGGTACTTGTGGCAAACAATTAGAGATAAAACAATATCAATTAATACTGGTAATGTAATAATGTGCAATGTGTGCAAATATTATTCGTTTATATGATTTCTAGCGTGATTCAACGGCTCATCTTTGTTTATCTGCGAATTATCCGCCGATGGTGTGGAAATAACACACAGCGGGTATGCGATAGGCATGTGACAACGGCGTGAACCGAACGGAAACGTTTTTATATGGGTTTTTATTTATCCGTTGAATATATAAAATTAATGACATTAATACCCACGTTAATCAAAACTATCACAAAAGTATTGTAAAAATTATAGAAAAATTTGGTAAAAAATGATTTACACGTGTTTCGTATATTATGAGTAATAAATTTTTATTATTTAATTTTTACGTCATTTGAAAAATTTTCAACCATGCGATTAAAGATAAACTGAATTTTGAGCATGTTTACTTTTATTATCAAGTTTAAATATCCGTTTGCGATAAACGGTTTAATCATTCTTATATAATTCTGCGATATATTTAAATACTTAGAAGAAATAAGACGTTTTTATGTTTTGTAAGAAGAAGTTTGTTCGCATGACTAATTCATGATCAAATAAAACACATATACTTTCAGCTTTCTCTGGTGTAATTAATACGCGTGTTTGCAAGCGTTTAAATAAAAATTAGAAGCATTTAGTCGATTTTTTTCGTGGTACGATGGTTACATGTTTCGGCATACTTTCATTTTGTAAATTACCTGGGTTTTACTTCACTTGTTCTGTTACTACGCGGATTTCTAGCGTGCAGCTGAATATTAGACGAATAATAATAATAATAATTTTTTTGTCAAATTCCCTTTTACTTTTTGGATTTAAAATAAATATGCAAGTATTTATTACGGTATTAAATTTGGTATGCAATTTTTATGTTAAATACTGCATTTTTATCGATTTGAAATTTTATGTGAATAATTCTAGTTAGAAGAACTTTTAGTTGAAATTTGAAATATTTAATAAACAGCTGTCGTCATATTCCAATGGGTTTCATCCCTTACATCTGGTTTATGAACAGGCTTCATTCTTTTGTTAGTTTTTCGTTTTTATTTTGGGTCGTAACCATGAATATAGTTGCTTTTGCAGACGTTGAGTTTGGGTTGAAATTCAAGGTTTCTCATTTCTACCTAGACTTCACCTTCAAGATTATATTTGCATTGAAAACCGTCGAGAAGTTTAGGCTGTCGCAACGGACATAGGTCATCTTTACAACAAAACGAAAACCAAACTAAACCGTGTTTCCTGTCTCAGTAACTAACTATTTCCAGCTTTGAGTTCGACTGAAAATCAAAATTTAAAACTTTGAAGCTTTATGACTCACTTTGCATATGAATGCGCTTAAATTTCATGAAAACATAACCCGACATAAGACGTCGCCAAAAATTCCGACGACGTGATATTCACCGTGTTTCGAATTGCCTGCACTTCTGTAATTGTGTGTCCCCAAATCCGAAAAGTTGTTACACCTACAACTGTTGCGTCTTCACGACTCACGCTTTAAGTTCATGAAAAATGCTTCAACGTTTTGGAAGTTACGAATTTTATTGTATAGAAAGTGCGCTACTTTTTCTTGTACTCGTATATTGCTATTTATTGCTTACCTTTTGTGCAGTTCATTAAACCATTCCACAATCTCCATCTTTAATAATTTATTAATCGCGAAATTAATTATTCTTTAATTAAAACCTGTGCCAACGACGAATAATCTTACACGAATGGTGGAAAAATACAAAACCGTTTTGGTTTTATAAACCCAATGTTAGGTTCTATATAATATAAGAGAATTGCTATCTTCGTTTCACGCTATGGAGAAATACAATACAATTTAAGTAAAAATTGGAAATTATCAATCAGATCACGTATCAGATAGTTTGCTGGTAAAATATGTAAATATCATACTGAATATTCATAAACACGGACAGTCTGATTGTTACTTTCCCAAAAACAAATACATACATTTCTTACAACGAGAAAAACTTACCTGATCGTTACGGCCAATAGGATTATGATCACACCAACCAGAAACATAGCAATCAGAACTCCACCGATCATATACAGGCTCTCATTTGGCGCATCTAGAAATAAAAAATAAATAAATGTAAAATTAAAAATTAAAAAATTTTGACTTGATTTTTTCAATTAGATTGTCTAATTATTAAATTTGTAACCCGCAATAAAATTGTAATATTTAAGAATATTATACCAAGCAACTAGGTTTTAAATAAAACTTTTATGTGCTCAGTGATAGCTGATGTGTTGGATTGCGCCAAATTAAATCTAATAATAATGCATATTCTAAATGCTCAAATGCATAGGTCTCGCAGGACGGCAGGATAATAATACACACTTGAAAGTAGTACGAGTCGAGCCAGACTAACGCATCGCTATCCTAAAATTCAACTAGTAGTAAAACATGATACTCTATTTAATGAACGCTGTTTTAAGTTAAAAAAAAATTATAAATATTTAGTATATTTGCTTTTAATTAAAGAAAATGTAAAATTATTCATTGGTTAATTGTTTGTTTGGCTAGACATGAGTTGCAAGGTTTCAAAGCATTAAATCTGACGAAATCAGAGGCGAAGCCAGTGAACTAAATATGCATTTACGCGCAAGATGTTATGCATTTGCAAGTGTAAACTGGGTTAATAGATTGCCATTTGACGAAACACGCCCAACGAGCATGAAGACGAAGATGTCGATATCAAAGATGAACGCAAAGATAAACAAACAGATAAAAATAAAATCACTAGCAACGTGAAACGGAAATTAGGTTAAGTTAAGAGCAAAACTGATTTTTTAAAATTACCAACTCTTTGCAAAAGAATAAATAAAATGCATGCTGAATGCTCAAATCGGTCAGTTACTTAATCTTAAGTCGAAAGTTAAAATGACTCATACCCTTTCAACATGTACAATAATATAATTTCTTCAAATGTTTATGACAACCGGACATTAATTTCAATATCTTTAAAAACGTTTTCGTTGCATGTTCTGAAACAAAAACTTTATTGTACCAACTAAAAAGCAAGTTAAGTTTAAGTTAAGCTGCAACTATAACGTATTGAAAGAGACATTGTTATTGCTTCCTGTGTGCCCATTTGACACCCATGTTGTATTAATTTGCTGATGTAAATAATTCTGCGGCTTGTGTTGTTACCAAGGCGTTCTCGCGTTACGCAAGCCTTTTATGCATGCGGCGATACGGCACGCTCCCACAACTTCGACATTATTAGCTGGGACATGGAAATGCAAACAAGACTCGAAACATGCCTAGCGATAATTTTAATTGTCGTTCACACACACGCGCAATACATACCTAGACATTTCTACAATCAGTTATTACCAGAGAAATTGAAATTTCACTTCTATATCGAAAACTAAAAACAAAGTGCGTGGGTTTTAAGACTCATGTTTTGGTAGAGTAGGAGTAGATTACCTACGAACTATAATTGCAAGTGTATTTAAGTGATTATTAAAAAAAATATTGTCGAGTCAGACTTTTACTCATGTTTTATCTCATGTGATGTTGACATTATGAGGTGTTGCGTATTTGGTATAGTTTTTAGCAATAAACATGTTTGGTTGTTGTTGGAGTTCCATTGGTTCTTCAAATATCGGAAGATTTAGTGCGAATTTAGCTTAGGTCACACTCCATGTGGGTCCTTGTTGAACGATGAAATTAGCAACGTTTCGCAATTTCAAAAATATACTCATAGGTAAAAATACATTCAATATTTAAATAGTTCTAAATGTTTAAATAACCGCCCTGAAATTTAAGTGTTACCAAGCACTTCTTCAGTCAATAATATCACTATGTGATCGAAAAATTAGTGCTGTTTGTATTTCGGTTATCGTTTTGTTGTACACACATTAAGAAAGTGATAAATATTAAACTGTATGCAAGTTGATTTTTAAATAGAGTTGGGTGTTGTTATGGTCCGATTAATGTGCGATTTGCGTGTGTTTAAACAACAATTTCAACAATGTTTGACTAAAATTTGTTGCTAAAAACATTGGAGCTGGTGACACAGGCATTTTGGCGTTAAATAAATTGTTTACTACTTTTGGCAGTGAGTCTAAACGTGTGGGAAAACAAAAATGCACCAACAAATTGTTTACAGTCCAATCCAATTTGATATGAATTTAACTCTTATCACTCTCGTTAAGTAAATACAAATTAAAAAAATTTGCTCATGCGCAACAAAGGAAAACGTCAATGACAAAAACAATGCGCATTGCTTGGAAATTCCGTAAATATTCTATAAATAAAAAAATACTTAACACACGTGGAGGTTATACCCATAACAATGCATTATTATATTTTCCGATAATTTGCTAATTTTATACGTTCACATATTGATGCAGTTTGATCTTCTAATTGAAAAAGTAAGCACATAGAGAGATGTAATGAAAATTCATATCTCTTAAACTAAAAGCCACAGCAACCAACAAATTGCTGATTATGATAGATTAAACATACGATTGCTAACATTAATTCATAAGAAAAAATGGGCATTTTTTTCGACGATTTTTGATTTTTGTGACATTTTTCAATTTTTGGCCATTTTCTTCAATCGCGAATATCTCGTGAACTAAAAGAGATAATTAAGATCTGATCGTAGCGTCTTAATGTACGGACGAATCTCTATCAGATACGATAGTTAAAAGGGAAATCTAAGAGATAAAATTTTTACTCTTAAGGAAAAAATGACCAAGGGGGGGTGCTTGATACTTTTTTTCGACGATTTTTGAAAATTCATATCTCTTAAACTAAAAGCCACAGCAACCAACAAATTGCTGATTATGATAGATTAGAAGATTCTGTATCAGATAAAAATATAAAATAATTATATTTCCTACAGTAAAGGGTCGAAAAACGCGAGTAAAAGTGCTAAAAAGTGACATTTTTCTATTTTTGCCCATTTTATTCAAACGCGAATATCTCGTAAACTAAAAGAGATAATTAAGAGCGCATTTACATTATCTATAAGCTCTATATAATAAGAATATATAACCATTTTACACAATGTGCTGTAGTATTTTATTGCAAACAAAGTTTTATTTTCATGACATTTTTTTGTAAGAAAATGTTGTGATGAATTTGCATTTTGAGTTTCACTTCTCTCAATAATATGAATCAGCAAGCAAAAAACGAATGTCTGTGAAAGCGTCTACCGTTTTATTTAATTTTTGCCTTTCCTGAAAAAATTTATGCAAGCGCATTCAACTCAACACAAACTTCAACATAAGTATTATATTTCTAGATGACTGCACGCTATTTTTAGACTTTGCAGAATTGTCGAGAAACGAAAATTTAAAATCGTAGTAAATTATATGATCGCGTAGTCTAGTTTTAATTCTAAGCCCAGGTACATATAGCCTAATCGCTTGTTCAAAAGATTGGCCTATCCTCCCGCCGGCGCCTGCTGGTTAAACTTAGCAACTACAGTCTTAGGAACTAATTTTAGTCGAGACTGGCGATAATTTTAGACAGTATAATATAAGCCCTATCCTAGGAGCCTTAAATTTCTTTCAATATCAATTATGATCGATGATTAACAATACTTATGTAATAAAGTAGATAATATTTATTCCGCAATAAACTCAAGATGAATTTATAAGTTATAAGTACTGAATTGAAAAATAATGTCCAGTTTTATATCCTTCCTGAAATGTATTTCCTAAAGTGAATATTACGGGCCTCAGACATGTTTATTACTCACTTTCTCAGCCATCAATTCGAAAATAATTCGTGCGAGTGGCCGAAGCGTGATTTGAGTGAAGTTCACTTGGTAGAAATGGTAGATTTGTGGGAACAGCGTGCGACGCCCGACGACGAACGCATTATTTTTATAAATTTAAATATAACATTCGGTTGCCAAGTGCGACCGATTCGCGACTGATACGACCAGAGAGGTCAAGTTACATTGACCACCAAGAATGAACACGCGTTAATTATCCCACTCACGCAATTATTTCCTATTCGATTATCAAATTCAACAGAATATGCTGAGATCACGCTTCACATCAGGAATTGATCAAAGTCACACTTAAACTCAGTTGTAATTAACATTTTTACTGTATAAACCAAAGCATGATGGGATGATGAACTGGATGAAATGGTGGTGGCCGAAAAAATGGGGTCATCAACCGCGTCGCGACCGCGTTTACGATTTTGAACACAGTCGATGGCACACTAATCACATGCGGTGCTGAAGTCAAACCCAGTGAACGACCGCCGCAAACCTACAATTAGCGATGCCAAGAATCGGCGATTCATTGAACTCCATAGGCAAGCACATCATTTCCTTATTTTAGTATTAAATTTGATCAATATATACGCGTAAGTACACACAAGTAAGATATTAACTTCGACTTTATCTCCTCTTTCATAGACGTTGCTGCTTCTTAAGAAGACATGAAACAAGTTGGAGTTAATACTCGTGCAGCTTTCTTTGGTACATGGTGCTAACAACCTTTCAGAAATGCGTCTGCCTGCGATTAACTCGCATCTTGTCTTACAGCCCTCGTTGGGTCTTTTTATATTAGAATCAACCAGACCAGACACTGCTTCGTGCGCAGAAGCGTTGTCTGGTGTTGTCGACTTCAAACGCGACTGAAAGAAACTTTATCCTTAAATTGCTTTCTATTTTTCGGTCTTGACTCAGAACTCACAGAAGTAAAACAAGGCGTCAGGCAAGATGAAAAAGAAAAAGTCATAAGCAAAGACAACGAAGACACTCCCTGATGTTAAGAAATCAACAGGCAGAGAAAAAGGTAAACACACCAGATGAAGACACTTTGTCAATTTGACTCTTTGTTCGTTCAGTTGTGAAAATGAACAAAGAAGAGTTTACTTACTTAAGTGTAAACTCTATATGTGCAAGTAATTAAATTTGTGTATTTTAATTACACACGACCCAGGCCGTGTCTAAAGTACTTTAGTCACGGGCTTTAGTCACGAGCTTTAGTCACGGGCTGGGATATGCTGAAATATGCATTTTAAATTTAAATTTATTATTTAATTAAGAATGTTTAAATATCATGCACGAAACAAATTTCCTATTCCCTG